ACGAGATTCGACGTCCAGCGCAGTCTGCAACATCTCCGTAGTCACGAACCTCGTGTCGTTAAAAAGGAACTCCGTAAACTGCACCTGCGGTGGTATCATGCAAAGGAACCCAAGATGAGGCTAATCCTAGACAAAGTGGGACTGGACAGTGTTCGACTGAATATGATCAAAGAAGTTTGCGATACCTGTCGGGGATGCAGAGCATGGGGACGTCCAGGAAACTCAACATCACCTTCGGTGAGCCTTCCTGGCGATTGGCTCGATGAAGGCGAAATGGATCTCATGGTTTATAAAAAACGTACCATATTCCACATTATGGACCGTTGCATTCGCCGGGCAGCAGGCCAAGAAACCCCCGACAGAGAACGTGATGCGATACTTGACGCCTACCACTACTGCTGGATTGCCTATCGTGGACCCTTCACAGCCTTATACTCAGACGGAGACGGCGCCCTGAACAATGATGCCGCTAAGGCCATGATGGCTAATAAGGGTACGGAACTCCGTATCCGAGCGCCTGGCCAACACGCGACTTCAATTGAGTCACGAAACGGCATTCTCAGAGGCGTCCTCTACATGATTGATGAAGAGCTGAATAGACACAACATCCCTGTTGTATTCACTAGAGTATTGGCTGAAGGCATCTTCGTTACTAATGCCTTTACGTTTTACAACGGAGTATCGCCATGCCAGGCACACACTGGACGTCAGCCCTCCTTTCTTCCTGACCTCGACACCCTTGACTTTATCAAGGCACCCGAGTCATCAGGGCACGAGCGGGAACGTCGCGTGAGGGAAGTTAGCTTAGAAGCCATAACTCAAGCCATTGCTGTGGCCAAGACAAATCGTGCTCTCAGGGCTAAAACGGCTCCCGATGGTGCTCGCCTTTACTCAGCAGGGGATTTTGTCGACTACCATCGACCCACTGCCACTAGGGGCGATCGCGGAGGCTGGAACGGCCCATTCCCGGTGATCCGCAACGTGCCTGAAAGAGGACATATTGTTGTCGAGGCAGGATCTCGTGAGGTAATTTTGATGTATCCTGATGCTCGTCACACGCTATACATTGAATGTCTCCTCGCGCGGGAACTTGGCATGGATAATATGGCCATGCAAACCGCCCTTACATGTGCGGCACACCTCGGCGCAGGGAAACCTGCCAAAGTCTTCGGCTACATCCCAGATTACAAGGGAAACCTCAATCTTTCAGACGACAGCAAGTTTCACCCGCGCGTGCATCTATCATTACAGTATCTCGTGCGAAATTCTTTGCGAGCAGAACACGTAGTAGCAGTTAGGTTGGCCAAAAGTGTGTCAAGTCTACCTGCAGTAAAGTGCGCCACCGGGTCTACGCTGATCCACAACGACAACGATATCAGCCCAGCCTTCCACTACTATGAGTGTGTGGGCACTGGCCTGAACATTTCTCAAATCACTGGTAGCACTCATTCCAGACTTATCCAATGCTTGACTTCACGTGTCCCTTCCTTGGGATTTCACGACGACTTGGCCAAATATCAGCACTCAAGCACCACGTCTGGAGAACGCGATCCGCCTGGAAACAGGCCTCCACCAGACACCCCAGGTGCTTCATCGCCGAGTGAAGGCCGTCTGTCGACAATCTATGAAGAAAACGAAGAACATAATATCGAAGCTATGATACTGGAAGAGTGGTGCGACGAGTTACGTATGGACCTTCATCCCACGACAACTACCGACGGTCATCACTACTGCGTCCCAACAACCATGCTGCCCGTCCAATGTGTTTTGGTTTCAGCAGCTGTGGACGAAGAAGATATCGTATTGTCGGAATCGCTCGGAGGCGAGCCTGATCCACGAGAGTCCTGTCTAGTCTCTCTCTGCTCAACCACACCTGATGAGAGCTACTCCCTTGACAGTGATGAGTATGGTCCCTATGTTGAGTTATGTTTTACATCATAAATGTCAAAGATAGTGTTGGACCAGACTCAACTTGCACAGCTCGACACTCATATGGTCGCAACGATGAGAGTATATGTGTCCTATGCTGCTAAACGTGCTGTGGTAGTCAAGGGAGATGACGTACCAAAGCCGACATAGCAGCACATCCAAAAGAGGTTCGTGGAGCTTTATACACTGAACTCAAAATCTGGATTGATAACCGATGCTTTGAGATGTATGATTGATCCAAAGCTTCCAACATCATGACATCCAGGTATGTATATAAGTGGAAGTTTGTGAAGGTGGGTACCGAGAACGCTGTGGAAACTTTCTCGGGAACCGCCCGAAGGCAGTCCCAGAGACTCTTGGCAAGTGAGGCGGCATGCCATCCAGAGTGGGTCTTAGCATCCATGGATATCAATAAGGCGTTCCTCAAGGGTCTGACCTATGAGGAACTTGCCCATGCCGCCGGCGAGGAAACTCGCATGGTTTGCTTCACCCTTCAGCCGGGAAGTGCCCAGGTACTTCGTGCACTACCCGGCTTTTCATCCCATGACGAAAGCCGACGCTGCCTCAGGTGCCTCAAACCAGGAACGGGTACAAAGGACGCCCCAAGAGCGCTCTCTCTCAAACTTCGTACGACCACACGATCTATAGGCCTTACACCGACCAGTTATGATCCTGAGTTTGAATTCCGCCAACGGCAAAACATGTCGATGATATTAACGTGACAGGCCTAGAGAAAAATATAGACGACTACGTACAACGTGTCGAAAAGGTGTTTGGCAAATGCAACCTTAACAAACACTCATATACGAACTGCGCCGTTCGCTACACCAAACATGGCCAAGGGGGCGTGATCATGGATCAGGACGAGTATATCAAACAACTTCGTCCTATCACACACCCAGAACTTACGGGGGCGGCGGCCGACGCCAAAGCCACGAAACTTGTTGCCGACATGTTCGTCAGCTTGCGAGGAGGCCTCGTATATGCCCTTCTTACTCAAATCTGGCTCATGGTATACGTGGTCTCTCTCCAGAAAATCCAAGAGCCCACCAACCTACAAGTCAGACGACTTAGCGCTGTGACGCGAAAGTTGATCAGCTGCCCGAAGCGCATCGCATTCCCTCGGATGAAGCCGACAAATGAAGTTGACATGCACAGCGATTCGGGGTATCGGAAGCTCACCGGGGAGGAGGATGATGAGACTAAGGGCTACGGCACACGCGGGGCCAATGTACTACGGCGAGGAAGCTCGCCTCACGGCAAATCCGTCGTTCACCTCTGTGACGGACTATGCAAATCACACCGACTGCAGGTGGGGTCCAGCTATGCTGCGGAGGCACTCGCAGCTGCGCATAACCTCGATGAGTGTTATCCTACGCTCATCACTCTCCACGAGCTCAAGGCAGGAGCTCTGACTCCGCGACAACTACGAGATATGCGTGAAGTTGGAGGCTTAGCCATTAAAGTATCTCTTACCGTAGACGCTGAGTCTGTTTATAAATCATTATAAAGCAAGGATCTTAATATACCGACAGAACGGACTCTGCTTGGACATATCAGCTGGATACGTGAGCTCATGGATATAGGTATAGTACATAACGTGCAGTGGTGTGATACTAGAGATATGACCGCATATGGGCATGCACAGGGAAGCATCGATCGGGAGCTGCTTTTGGAAGTGATGTCAGGCACTCAGTCATTCAAGTATGACGTGAAGCAGTTTGTTCCCTTTCGGGGTCCCGAGGACAGAAACAAACCCAAGTCTAATCAATTTTAGTCTGCTTGTTGCCCCCCGCGGTCCAATTTGCCAGTATGGGCGCCTACTACAGAGGCGCCCTTCTAGTTGCTCGGAAACGAGCCTTGCATTTCATGCCTGGCAACGAGCTGGCTTTATATGATTCAGGCTCTTTGCCTTCATACTTTTCTTTGTTCGGTGAGGTATGGCCCGTTTGGCTTGCCTCTAGCTGAGCCGATAGCCCTTCATCGTCCGAAGCGGCTATCTTGGATTTGCGTGAAATACTTTGCGAGGAAACTTGCCTTGCAGTCTGGTGTCAGGCCAGACTGTACACACTGTTTTCTTTATTGCAAGCAGTTGTGCGCGCGGCCTTTGTAGAGCCTAACGGCTGCGCGGCTATACTCTCCGTCTCCTCCCCTCCCGACTTTAAGGGTAGGTTTTTGGGAGATGTTATAGTATCGGGGGTATAGCTCGCGCGCCGTTGCCTTTGGCTCAAGGCACGCGCGCCCTATTTGCCCGGACACTGCTTCTGTTCGCTATGTGCTGGAAAGATCATTACGTCGATCTTATCCTATCTTATCCGTCCATTCCTCTTACCGAACAGCCTCAGTACGATACCGGACGCTATTTGCCATCCGCTTCCCATGGAATCGGATGCTATATGAGTTACCAGGCTCACTTTCGACTCAGGGTAGGGGGTAGGGGGAGGGGTCAAGACCTCCTCCCCGCCCGCAAGCCGTCTCGCTCACTCCCACCCGCCCTCCCAACACATACGTAGCACCCGAGTCTGGCCCGAGCCTCAGCATATTCAGCAGTCGTCTTTGGATGGGCAGCTACTGGGGGCCACTCCGCCGCCGCCGCCGCCGCCGCCGCCGCCCGCCGCTGCCCGCCGCCGCCGCTGTATTGTTTTTTGACAGGGATGGTGGGGGGGGCGCATCGGGTTGGCTGCGCATGTTCCGAATTTGGAGGCAGACTGTGTTTTGTATTGTTTGTTACAAGTGATGGTGGGGGGGGGGTCGTCATGGTCCCTGGTTGGCCCCCAGTCGCCTGGGGGAGGGGGTGTTTATCAATTGGTAACAATGATAAGCCCCTCCCCGAAGGGGAAGAGGGAGGGGTGGAAGAGGAAACGCCCTAAACCACCGACGCCCAGAGGGCCGGTGGGATTACACCAATCTTGGACAGGCCGATCTGTGGCCCAGGATCGGTGCACAGGCCTGCTGCCCAAACCAGGAGGGCGTATACACCGATCGAGGGCCCAGGTTGAGCCTGGTCAGGATCGGTGCAGGTGTATAGTTGGCGTCCTCCTCGATATCGATCGGTCAATCGATGCTCCGAGGCGGAGCAGGGCGGCGAGATCGCCCAGCTCCGGCGGCGGCTGCTGGCGGAGGGCCTGCCGCCGGGGCCGAAGAGCCCGTCGGAGAAGCCCGAGCGGCCACCGCTGCAGGGAAGACCGCGCCAGGGCAGCAGGAGGTGGGCCCCCTGCACGCAGCAGCGGTGGCCGCCGCTGCCGAGCGGGCGACGTTCGGGCAGGAACTGGACCGGCTGCGGGCCAAGCTCTCCGAGGAGGAGCAGCGGCGCGAGTCGGTCAGTGCGGCCGCGGCGGCAGAGGCGGATCAGCTGAGGAAGCAGGCCTCCGATCTCCAGGCAGCTGCAGCGTCCGCGGCTGCTGAGAAGCTCACACTCGGGCAGGAACTGGACCGGCTGCGGGCCGAGCTCGCCGAGGAGGAGCAGCGGCGCAAGTCGGTCAGTGCGGCCGCGGCGGCCGAGGCGGATCAGCTGAGGAAGCAGGCCTCCGATCTACAGGCAGTTGCAGCGTCCGCGGCTGCTGAGAAGCTCACACTCGGGCAGGAACTGGACCGGCTGCGGGCCAAGCTCTCCGAGGAGGAGCAGCGGCGCGAGTCGGTCAGTGCGGCCGCGGCGGCAGAGGCGGATCAGCTGAGGAAGCAGGCTTCCGATCTACAGGCAGCTGCAGCGTCCGCGGCTGCTGAGAAGGTCACACTCGGGCAGGAACTAGACCGGCTGCGGGCCGAGCTCTCCGAGGAGGAGCAGCGGCGCGAGTCGGTCAGTGCGGCCGCGGCGGCAGAGGCGGATCAGCTGAGGAAGCAGGCCTCCGATCTCCAGGCAGCTGCAGCATCTGCGGCTGCTGAGAAGGTCACACTCGGGCAGGAACTAGACCGGCTGCGGGCCGAGCTCGCCGAGGAGGAGCAGCGGCGCGAGTCGGTCAGTGCGGCCGCGGCGGCAGAGGCGGATCAGCTGAGGAAGCAGGCCTCCGATCTACAGGCAGCTGCAGCGTCCGCAGCTGCTGAGAAGGTCACACTCGGGCAGGAACTAGACCGGCTGCGGGCCGAGCTCTCCGAGGAGGAGCAGCGGCGCGAGTCGGTCAGTGCGGCCGCGGCGGCAGAGGCGGATCAGCTGAGGAAGCAGGCCTCCGATCTACACGCAGCTGCAGCGTCCGCGGCTGCTGAGAAGGTCACACTCGGGCAGGAATTATACCGGCTGCGGGCCGAGCTCGCCGAGGAGGAGCAACGGCGCGAGTCGGTCAGTGCGGCCGCGGCGGCAGAGGCGGATCAGCTGAGGAAGCAGGCCTCCGATCTACAGGCAGCTGCAGCATCTGCGGCTGCTGAGAAGGTCACACTCGGGCAGGAACTGGACCGGCTGCGGGCCGAGGTCTCCGAGGAGGAGCAGCGGCGCGAGTCGGTCAGTGCGGCCGCGGCGGCAGAGGCGGATCAGCTGAGGAAGCAGGCCTCCGATCTACAGGCTGCTGCAGCATCCGCGGCTGCTGAGAAGGTCACACTCGGGCAGGAACTGGACCGGCTGCGGGCCGAGGTCTCCGAGGAGGAGCAGCGGCGCGAGTCGGTCAGTGCGGCCGCGGCGGCAGAGGCGGATCAGCTGAGGAAGCAGGCCTCCGATCTCCAGGCAGCTGCAGCGTTCGCGGCTGCTGAGAAGGTCACACTCGGGCAGGAACTTGACCGGCTGCGGGCCGAGCTCGCCGAGGAGGAGCAGCGGCGCGAGTCGGCCAACTCCGCTGCACAATCGGAGGCGGATCAGTTGAGGACACAGGTCTCCGAGCTATCCAGTTTCGCTGCCCAGCGAATCCGTTTCCGCGCTCGGGCGGGCGCCTGGGGGAGGCGTTGGTTGGGGTGTTCGCGCTGCGTGCCACCGGTGCCATGTGGTTCCGATCAGAAACTATGATGTTGGCACCACGTTCTTCTTGGATGCACTCGCAACGCAGGCACTGTGTCACATCGAAGCCGTGCTGGTTCCCCTTGCACTTAGGGGTTCTTACTTCGCTCGCTGAAAAGTACTTGGTGGGCTGTTGCCCGGTTGGTGGGCGGTCCGTGTGTGCCTCGTGCTTTGGGTGGGTGTGCCGAGGTTTCGCCTGCTGCCCGCGCGTAGGCGCCTCGTGCGCTGGGTGTGCTGAGGTCCCGCCTGGCGCCCGCCAGTGGGCGCCTCGTGGGCGCCTTGCGCGGTTGGTGGGTGTGCCGAGGTTTCGCCTGATGCCCGCGCGTGAGCGCCTCGTGCGCTGGGTGTGCCGAGGTTTCGCCTGGTGTCCGCTCTTTGGCGCCTCGTGGGCGCCTTGTGGGCGCCTCGTGCGGTTGGTGGGCGTGCCAGAGCTTCGCCTGGTGCCCGCTCGTGGGCTTCTCGTGGGCTTCTCGTGGGCGCCTCGTGGGCGCCTCGTGCGCTGAGTGGGTGTGCCGAGGCCCCCCCCCTTCCTGCCCGTGGGCGCCTCGTGGGCGCCTCGTGCGCTGGGTGGGTGCGCCGGAGTTTTGCCTAGTTGCCGCCCGTGGTTGCCTCGTCGGCGCCTCGTCCGCTGGGTGGGTTTGCTTAGTGCCCGCCTGCGGGCGCCTCATGTGCGCCTTGTGCGATGGGTGGGTGTAGTAAGCTGTCGCCCGGTGTCGGCCTGTGGACGCCTCGTGGGCGCCTCGCGCATTGGGCGGCTACACAACATGGTGTTTCACAACATAGTTTCCATCACATAGTTTTCACCACATAGCTTCCACCACATCACAACTCGAGAGCAGCCTGTACCACACTCAGCTTGCACCACCCTTACTTGACCGCGCAGCGTGCACCACGTAGCATGCAGCTCGTAGCTTGCATGACGTAGCTTGCACCACATAGTTTGTACCGCATGGCTTGCACACGCGGGTACACGCACGCATATCTGTATGTGTATACATGCAGCTGCATATCTACAGTTTCATACACATATGTATATGACGATGCCCTTTTCCTTGGGGGTCCGCCTTTTCGGCCTGCCGACGCTCCAACCCAGCCCCAGAGTACCAGCTGCTTGCTTCAATGGGCGCCCGCACTGCCCAAGAGGCCCCAAAGCCGTCAGACACCTCCAGAACAGCCCAAAAGGGTGCCGAGCCGCCACCGAGTCGCGTGAAAATCACTCTCAGACGCCCGCGGTCGTCTCCAGATGGCCCATCACGCTCGCAACGCGCTCCACGAATGCTTCCAGACGGCGCAGACCGCCCTCCAGACGCTCCGAGAGGGTTCGCAAGACGCCCCCCAAGATGGCCCCAAGACGCAAAATCCAGCGGTTTCCTCCGGTTTCATTAAAGTTTGTTGGAGCTCCCGCCTTTTCAACTCAGCAGGTAGACGATAGCCCACGAATAATCAACGAAAGCTCAAGACCGATCCGAGTCTCTGGACCGTTAAAGAGAACCCACGCCGTCGTCGTCGTCGTCGTCGTCGTCGTCGTCGTCGTCGTCGTCCTCGTCCTCGTCCTCGTCCTCGTCCTCGTCCTCCTCCTTCGCCTCCTCCTCCTCCTCCTCCTCCTTCCCCTGTTCGTCGTCGTAATCGTCGTCGTCGTCGTCGCCGTCGGCCGCGGAGGTTCCGCAATTCTCGCCAGGAGGGAAGGGGTCCGGTGGGAAAGGGGCCTCAGGTTTTTTTTTTTTTTTTTTTTTTTTTTTTTTAAGTTTCGGGTCTCCCGGAGCCCTCCCGGAGGGTCAGAATCCGAAAGAGTTCGCACCTCGACGTTTGAACTTGGTCCCCCCATCGGGCAAGGGATGCGACGATTTTTCATCGAGCGTTGGGGAGGAGTATGAGATGGGGGGGTAGGAGGAGGAAAAGGAGCAGGCGGAGGACGGGCAAGATGCGGAGAAGGATGGGTAAGAATAAGGACGAGGAGGAGGTTGAGGAGGAGGAGGAGGAGGATGAGCAGGAGGAGGAGGAGGAGGAGGCGAACGAAGATGAGGAGGAGGAGGAGGAGGAGGACGAGGACGAGGAGTAGGAGGAGGAGGAGGATGAAGGGGAGGAGGAGGAGGGGGGAGTCGGAGTCGGAGAAGGAGGAGGAGGAGGAGTCGGAGTCAGAGTTGGAGGAGGAGGAGGAGGAGGAGGAGGAGGAGGAGGAGTCGGAGTTAGAGGAGGAGGGGGAGGGGGGAGGAGGAGGCGAGAGGAAGAGGAGCAGACACCCGGTGGGAGGAAAAGGGAGGAGGCTTCCACGAGGGCCCACAGAGGCCCGCCTCGGCCCCACAGACGGCCCTCGCGACGCCTCCAAAAGGCCGTCGAGAGACCCCCACGAAACATCCCAGATGCTGGATCAGGAGCATGGGGGGAGGGAGCCGAGGAGGAGGAGGCGAGTGATGAGGAGGACAGCGGGAGCAGTGGTGGAGGGGGACGCTGCGGGAACAGGGGGTGTAATCCAGAAGCCGCATTAAAGTGATCATTTCCCCCCTCTGTGACAGAGGGGGTGTTTTTCGGACCCCCTCTGTGACAGAGTGTGGCAGCAAAGGATTGGATGAATGTTTTAGGCCTTGAGCCAGAACGGTAACAGTCACATGAAACTGAAGTGACCTGCCTTACAGGTCTGCAAGAATGAACTACAAACGCTAAACCTATCGATCAAATTCTGGAAGTCGGTTACACTCGTCCAACTTCTCTTAGGTTTAGCACCCTTGAATAGCAAAACCTGGGGAGACTGCCCTGCTCTGGCTGCAGAGCTGGCTCCTCACTCCGGTCACGGAGAAACGAGAAGAAAGATTGATTACTGTACATTACTGGAAAAGCGGAAACGACGGGAGAGAATGCGGGATGGGGAGAGAAGGAGAAAGAGGAGGAGGACCACCACCACCACCACTACCACCAGGGTCCCGGAACTCGAACCAGGCCAGGAAGTTGTTCCGGGAGAGCTCGTCCCGGGAAGCGGTCTGACTTCTGCTCTTGAGACTTGGAGTCTCTCGGCGTCGTGCAACCTCGGCATCCTCGTCAACTAGGATCAACCGTCCGTGAGACATGAGATCGAACAACGCCGCGTTACATTTTGTAACGTCTTCCTTAGTTAAGGCGTCCACTGGCATACGGCCGTGAGGTATCCATCTCACGTGCCCACGAGCCCGCTCGAGAGACTCACATATAATCGCCAAATCGATCGCAGTGCGACGATCTCGTGCACAGGCCACCCCCTCCTTCTGCATAGTGTCGTAGATGGATTTGGCATCCACAACATGTACCTGTCTCTCGCGGGAGCCGAGTGAGCAATCCCTCCTCAGGACCGTGGTGGATGGCCCTGAGGCTCGATAACAATCGGGAGTGTCGACGTCGTGAAACATGACGTCGCGATATAATATTTGCAGAAATTCCACCTCTGCTACAGCCGCTGAGAGGGCCTGGGTCTCTCCAGCTAAAGTGGAGGGAACTTTGCGCCTGAGCTTGGAAGAACGCCAGCCCAGAATCGAAGCCTTTACAGCTTTGTTCTCAAGCACTGAACAGTCGGCAGCTAGGACCATCCAGGCCCCTTGAGTTGGATCAACAGGAAGGCCCCGATCGTCTAACAACCCCTCGGTAGACCCGATGCCACCAGCGTCGGAGAAGGAGATGAAGGACATTCGGTCCGGGTTCAGCTTCCAAATAGCCAGGCCTCGAGAGGCCGATGCTCGAAGGTGACGGGCCAACTTGTTGGCTATAATAACATCTCCAGTGGTAGCCTGCTTCAACTTGCTCGCAAGAATACTTGCCACTCCCGCGGCTTCTGGGCGGGCCTCGCGGCCTACCCAGTTGAACTTGTATACTAAAGATCGGAGGGCTCGAAACTCATGAGGTTCTAAAGGAGTGTCTTTCCGTGAAAGACGCCCCTTTGCCATCGGCAGCGCTCGGACTTCTTCCAAGATGTATTTTTCCTGGTCGATTACAGCCCGGTCCTGAGAGACCGTGATACGCCTTCCAGCGAAATCGACAGCGCCTGCCTGGAGGTCCCGGTACTTGCCAAACTTGAACCTGGCCTCCAGGACCCCTCGAAGCCACTGCCTGGACTCAGGACTGGAGCTCCCGATGAGAAAATCGTCGACCTCTAGCAACATCGTATTGAGCAACCGGCCCCGGGAGTCGTAGCGCATCCACCAGCACGGCTCGAGGAGAGAGCGAACGAAGCCGTGGGACTCAAGGTACCTAACCACGGTCCGTCTCCAGGCCATGGGGGCGTCGTCTAACCCGTAGACGTTGACAAGCAGCCTAATTAGGGAACCTCTCTCCAGCTCGACCCCATCACACGGTTCGACATATATTTCCCCCTTGGCCCTCTGCATTCTATCGGACTGACAAAACGCATTCTTAACATCGGCCACGTCACACAACAGACTAAGGTTCATGGCTACTTGCATGAACATCATAATGGAGGAGGTCTGTGGGGTCGGGGCATAGACCTCGAGGGCTCCCGAGTCGGGGTCTTTATGACCGTGAACGCACCACCGGGACTTAGCGTCCGGTTCCGCAAACGTTCCCTCACGGGGTTTCCACCGACGGACCATCCGGCTCGAGATGATACGATCCCCGTGCTGCTGGCGAATGATCCTAGCTCGCCCCGGAGGTATGATTTCCACGGCTCCCGTGGCTTTCATGGCCTCCCATTCCTTGTTGTCGGCAGCAACAAACTTGGCCCTTTCGGCTGGGGACAGACGGTTCAGAGACACTTCGCCCCCTCGGCTCGCGGCGAAAGTGCCTCCGTCAGACTCCACAGCTCCCGTCCACTCTGGCTGCTCCGTCGGGACGACCCGAACACCCCCGCTCTCCGGGACGACCCAAAACTCTCCGAGCTCGCCTCGGGATGGCGAACGAGACCTCGCTCGTCGGTCCTCGATGTCCTGAACTCTTTCGGCCACGGTCCGGGACGGCTCGAAGCTGGACGACGGACCTGGCCGCCCCTCCAACTCTCCAGCACCTGGGTCGGTCCTGGGAGGAGGATGAGGAGGAGCGAGGTGAGGAGGAGCGGGGGGATCAACAACACCTCCTGGAACTGAAGGGGAGGAAGGATCCGGCCCCGCCGACTCGGGCGGCGCCGAGTCGAGGCGAGCCCTCTTGACGTCCGGCGGGCTGCTGGCCGCCCGGCCGGCCTCGGCCTTGGCGCGGATGCACCAGGGGAGATCCTCCGGCTGCCGCAAGACCCTCCGGCCTCGGGAGGACGAACCTTCCTCGGCCGGTGGAAAGGAGGACGGAGGGGGAGAGCTGGAGGGGGAGACAGGGGAAGCAGACGGAGGAGAGACAGCAGCAGGGGACAGAGGAGCAGGGGTAGCAGAAGGGTCGGGAAACTCAGGGGGGTCAGGATCCCTGTCGCCCCCGTCGACCTCGGAGCTGCCTCGAGACGGCCGAGTGCTCCCCTCGACAGTGGGACCACTCTCGGGGATGGAGGGGAGACGTGGCCGAACACTGCCTGCTTGCGCCACGTCCGATCCAGCCCTCGAGGATCCGCCAGCCTCGGATTCGGCACGAAGAGCCCGCCGAGAGAGGGTCCCGGGTCCCGCGGGCCCTGACGCGGTCCCAGGAGACAGGGCTGGAGGAGACGGGGCCTCCTCGTCCCCAGGAACCAGGGGACCCCCGGAAATCCTCGGGCCCGTGTCGGGCTGCCTGCCCAGGGGTTGATCCCAGGCCTCGTCTGGCGGGGCTCCCTCACGCTGCACGTCGACGGCCGAGACCCTGCGGGTCCTGGCTTGCTGCAGCAGCTCTTGCCAACGGGGTCTTGGGCCAGCTGGAGGCCGTACTCCTCGTCGGAGCTGGCCAACCTCACTTGCTCCGGAGAACATTTCCAGAGTCGGGCGCGGACGGCGACCCAAACCGTCCCAGCCTCATGCAGAACAACGACCCCGGGACCGGTCCAGCCGTCACGTCGCCTGCCCAGAGCATCAGCCCGCGAGGAAATACGGGACATATGTCTCCACACGAAAACCCACTGACCGGGGGTAAACGTCCTGGGCACGGGGGTCCTGGCCTTGGTCGCCCGGCTGATCTGGTCCCGGGCCGTGACTTCAATGGCCAGTCGCCTGGCAGCGTCTCGAACCTTCTGCGAGCGGGCGAACTCCGCGCCAGCTTCGTCTTGCTCAGAGAAAGGCCTGGAAACGTCCTGCCACCCTGGAAGACCCCGGCTGTCGTCTGACAGGAGATCGTGGGGAAGGCGAGGATTCTCGCCAAAGACGAGTTGGAGGGGGCTGAATCCCCCTCGATGCCAGAACCGATTTTTGTGCGCCACGAGTTCTGACACCAGCTCGTCGAGCTCATCCAGCGTGGCTGGGAGGGCGGACCCGGACTCGATCTCGGCTTTCAGCCGCTCTTTCACCCACCCTCCATGGCGTTCCACGCGACCATTCTGCCATGGTGAGTCGGCATCGCACACGTGATGAAGGATCCCCCACTGTTCGGTCCCCCGGGCAAAACGCGCGGCGAATTCTGATCCGCCGTCAGACAGAAGAAAGTGGGGTGCTCCAAAAGGCCGAATCCAGCAATGAACGAAGACTCGCCAGACCGTCGCCGCTCGGGCATCGGCGACTCTGGCACACACCTGCAAGTTCGAGCCGTGGTCAACCACGTTCATAAATGACAGCGTGGTTCCTTGAAACTCGACATGAAACAAGTCTATGCCAACGATATGATTGAAGCGAAACGTTCGGGGCAAAGCCACACGCCTGTGGACACCGCTGCGGGCCCTTTCGGCGCACTCGGAACACCTGAAATGGTCCCGGATCCAGGCCAGCACGTGCCTCTTGACCCCCCCGGCACGCAGAACCCTGAGGAATTTCCTATTTTCGGGGTGGCCCATGTTCACATGTATCTTGTAGGCCAAACGCTTCTCTTCTTCGGACGGCTCGACCTCCTGGACAGGACGAGAGATCTTGGGGGCCGGCCTGGTCTCAGGCTCATCTTCGTCACTCCCTTCCGACTCGGCTTCCTCGCCTTCTCCCGCATCTTCGGGAAAGTGGCCTTCCGCCAGCTCCGCCCAGGTAGGAGTTTTACTACGAGAGGCCCCACTCCAGTGCTCAGCCACTGCTCGGGCGACCTTTCGCACCAGCGGCCTGGGGTATCGGCCGGCCTTGGTCGTAACGTGGCTCCCTTCCAGTAGTGCATGGGAGTGGCCGCCTGTGCACAAATGACCGTCAAGGTCGTGGAGCACTTGCGGGTGATTGGATAGGAGGCCGGTTGGTTTCTTATTTAGTCCACGGCTGTCCACGCTGAGACCCAATGAGCACATGTCGACCCTGAGACGGCGGACCCCCTCTAGTCCGCTGATGAGCCTCACGGCCCGGGTTCCCCATGAGGAGGCATACAGTGGATGCTCGAAGACAAAGAAGCGTCCCTTATTATGCTGGTAGAGCGCGATCTCCATGCATAGAGCTAGATCGCGAAGGCCGGCCTCGATCGTGCGCCTCCAGACCGCTGGATCGACCTTGTGCCGATTGAGTCGATTGATCGCTGAGAAAGCCCGACATTCTGGACACAACCAGATAGTCTCGGGCTCTTCCGCCTCTATCTGTCGCCAGAGACGTCTCACTTCCGAGGGCTTCGAGGCGTCCCACCCTGTCTTAAGGTCCCAACTGGACTCCGGAGCCACCGGGGCCCCAAGCTTGGCCACGTCAGGGGCCATCCTCGGAGGCGAGAAGACCTCCATAAATGCCGTCTTGGACCGTCCTCGGATAGTGGGCCCGGCATCGGCTTGAAACGACTCCCCTAAACTCTCACGCGCTCGGTCCTCCAGGGCCCCACGAACTCGACGGCTGCATGACACCTCATGGTCATCATTGAATCGGTCCCCGTCGAACCAAAAGGCCTCAGGCATGACTTCCTCACCCCGGGATGATGGATTCCGGTGTGATGGATGGCAGGGAGGAGGGAGACCCGGGGGAGAACCCAAGGGAGGAGAGGCGGAGAGAAAAGGAAGAGGAGCAGCAGCAGCAGCGCCGTCAGAGGTCTTACTTCTTGGTGCCCCCTCGCTGACGGGGGGTGCGGATGCTGGCACGGCACAGCTGCACTGCATAAAACAGAGAGACAGGCCTAGGCTGGGAGATCCTTCTTTCCTCAAAGAAGGTTCTCCGGATCGGCAATCACCTCCCAGGAGTCTTGCTCGAGCTGACTCTCGGGCTGCTCCGGGATCGGTGGAAGGGGCCACCACTGCGACTGACTCATGGCTGACTCTGAGGGCGTTGTCGTAGGCGTCGTGTCCTGGCCCCCGCTGCCCACATCGGAGAGCTCGATCTCGGAGTCTCCGTTGGCGAGAGGCGGCGTCGTAGTAGACAGCGGTGGTCCACCTCCCTGGAGGCTCTGGTGAGGTGCCCCGGGCCCTCCAGAGCCTGGTGATCCGCCGCTGCCGCTGGCACCTGTGGGACCAGCCTGACCGCCCACCCAGGGGTCTTCCTGGACCGCGCCACCAGGCGTCGACAGGAGGCCGTGTTGCTGAAGTAGAGCTGCGACGCCCTGGCCGATCTGCTGAAGCATGAATCCGAGTTGTCCGATGCCCTGCTCGGCGTTGAGGATGCGATCCTCGATCGTGTCGAGCTTCTCGCCGAAGTCCTCGAAACTCGAGAGCGTCCTCGCGATGGAGACCAGCATCTGATGGATCTGCTGAAGGCCCTCCTGCGTCTGGGTGGGCGCGCTCTGCGCATTGTTGACCGTCTCGATCATCTGGTCTAGTACGGCCTGGACCCGCCCGAACGCTCGGATCCCGTCCGGAATCTCGTGAAGCTGCCAGTGGAGATTCTGCAGTAAAGCGCCCATGCTGTTGATCGTCGACAGCGCTGCTCCACCCTCGCGGAACCCTGGGTCGTTCTGGAGCATCTCGACCGCACGACGAGCTGACGCCGCCGCCGAGCGGGCCGCCTCTGCGGCGGACTGCGGAGGCTCCGACCCGCCCTGGCCAGCCTGTCCGCGAGGAATCCAGACCAAGCGAGTGTTGCACAGGGAGCATTTGGATCCAGAACCGTGCTGGTTCCCATAGTATCTGATGGCGGACTCCGGGTGGTCGCAATCGATCCCTGCCACAGCCGGTGGAGGCTTCACTGGAGGGGGCGGCTTCGGCGGAGGCTTGACTGCGGCGGGTCCGGACAGTGTCCCCGGACGACCAAACCCGAAGACCCCTTGCGAATGCTCGAAGGTCTGACCTGATGGATCGGGCGGTCCGCCCACGGCCCCGGGCGTTCCCGCCGGAGCGGCCGTGGTGCCCATCATCCTGGGAGGCGGCTTCATTGGCGGCTGCTTTGGCTGAGGCGCCGCGGGAATGCCGCCTGCCGCCTGGTAACCCGCTGAACGCCCGCCGTCCACCTGCATGAGATCGGGCGGCGGCCCGTGAGGAAGCGGGGGCCGCGCACTCCCGCTCGATGAAGACGCCGCACCTGCTGATGGGGCTGGCTGCGCTTGTTGGTCGGCAGCGGCCGCTGCAACTGCTTGAGCTGCTGCTTCCTCCAGCTGCGCCTGTGCTGCAGCCATCGACGGGTCGGCTGGGTCGTCCCAAATGTACCCGTCTGAGTCCGGCTCTCCTGGAGCCCTCTCGCCTCTGATGCGCGCCTGGCGAGCCCTCAGGAAGGCCTGCGTCGCATCCGCTGCCCTCGGGGGATTGCCCTTCGAGTTCTTGCCGCCGAGAGCCGCAAGCACCAGCGTCGCCACCAGGGTCCCCTGGAGCTGCCGCATCGTTCGGATCGGAACTGATTCCGAGAAACAGACGTGAAAGCCAAGCTGAAAGGCTAGCTAAGCTTGAGCCGAGGTGGTTTACGCTGACGATAACGTCGATGCCGATGGTGACTCCGATCTGGGGCCCTCGGCTCCCCGAAACTCTCGTACTCGAAGTACCCTTGACCTTAGCTTGACTACCGGATCTGAGGCCCTGGGATCTCCCAAGTGAGGCTAACTGAGCTCGTGGCTTGCAGATGTCCTCCCGCTCCTCAGAGGTCTCCTGCCCTAAGACGACCTGGCCCCTGATCTTCCGCTCCCTGGTACTCTGAGTCCCCGGACTTGTGCTCTGGATCCTGGTCCTAGTCCTGGAGCCTCTTGAGCCCCTTGGTCCCCTGGTCGTTCGTAGAAACAACCGTAGGATGATGAGGAAGAGGATGATGTAGACAGAGACCGTTCCCGTGTCGGACATCTGCTGCGGCGGTCCGGCCGCCCGCTGAAACGAGTTGGGCCGGAGAAAAGGATATTTGTCCAAAGCTGCTTGAGGGACCTCGGGCTCCTTCAGCTGGCAAACTATCTCGACCAGCCGATGTCCTGACCCGAGGCGCGTGAGCTGAACACTCCGGCCCAGGCGTTCTAGCTGCAAGGTGTTGCGAGGCAGGTCGATAACTGACCCGAGGTATTCTAGAAGATTGACGCTCAAAATGTGCGGAACATTGTCCGCCAGAACAGTAGTCTCGATGATGCCCAGGACCTGGCCCAGGCAGAGAGGAAAGAGCACCACGTTGATGACGCGAGCGGCTCCCCCCGCGCCGTGAGCAGCCTTCGACGGTCGCATGCTCTCGGGGATCTCGACATACTGGAGGCCCACCTCAGCGAGCGCCTGAGACTCACGATTGAGGGCCGCGACACCGACCAGGTCGCTTCCTGCCCCCGGATCCACCAGCGCCTGGGTGGGCGTCGTGGCGAGCAGGACCATGGACTGGTCGGCCTCCGGCTCGCTCTTCTCCAGCAGAGCGCATGGGGCCACGAACTCGCTGCCGCCGCCGCCCACGACCCCGTCGAACAGGTAGGCAGCGGCGCGTCGATCACCTCCTCGCTGTCCCTGACCCTGAGCACGCTTATCCTTGGGACCGCCACGCTCAGGGCACTCGCGGTGCCAGTGCCCTTTCTCCTTGCAGATGCTGCAGCGCGTGACCTTGATCAGCTGGTCGCGGGACAGTCTCTGCCGGCCAGCACCACGACCGTCTCGGCCTGCCCCGCGGCCGCCCCCGCGACCACCTCGAGCGGAGCGTCCCGCGGGGTGGGCACGAGGAGGAGGACGGGTTCCCTGAGCTCCAGGGCGAAAGTACTCGCGGTCTTGCTTCACCGCTCTCTTGAGGTCCTTATTTTGCTTCCACGTGCGAGTGTTCTTGGCCTCGAGAGTGGCCAGGACCTCATCCACCTGATCCTCGGAAATGTCGAGGTCCTCGATCTCAGCAAGCAGTGCCTCAATGTCCTCTTCGTCGTCCTCCTCTGGCTCCTGGTCCTCCTCGTCGTAGAAGGTGTCGTCATCCTCGGCACCCTGGTTCTCGACACCACCGTCACCCGACCAGGGAGGAGGGGAGGGAGAGGAGGGCTGAAAAACACCTGCTGCACTGCTGGCCCCTACACCCTCACTGGCCATCATGGCTCCAGCCCCTGGTCGCCCGGGCAGAAGTCTCTCTGACCCGCCGGCGTCCATCTGCTTCAGAGCCCAGGCCACGTTTTCGTAGTCTAGCCTCCCGAGCGTGAGGGTCCTGAGATTCTGGAGGCCCTGCGAGGTGAGGCCTGCGCCCTCCTCCAGCAGCAGGCCCTTGAGCTTTGGAGACATCCAGAGGTCGTGGCCCTCGGCCTCCAGGAGCTGCGCCTCACGCCTGGTGACGAACTGCACCAGAGATTCTCGCTGTTCACGACTGGCCTCGAAGAAGGCCTTGCGACCAGCTCTGCGCAGGTCGTCTCCTTCTCTTTCCCCGGCCATGGTGTCCATGCGCCCAAGCACCAGGTCGAGCCAGCCGTCCTCGGCCATCTTGTACTCGGGCACGTCGTCGAACTTCATCTGGAACGCCCAATCGAAGAGCTTGAGAAATTTCTCAGCACGCCTCCACATGGGAACATCTGTGTTGGCGTTCCAGCGTCGCAATGCCTTTTTCCAAGGCCTGTAGTGGGTCCACCCCGGCCAAGCCGGGGGATCGCTGTAGTCTCCCTTGGGCCAGCCGCTGCTTCCCCAGCCGCTGGACCAGGACTCAGCATTCCGGCTGTCACGACTACGGCCCCGCTGGTCTGACTCCTGCGGTCGGTCGGCCTCGGCCTTCCAATCCCGCCAGCTGCCGGACTTGCTAGTCCAGTCCTGCCAGGTGCCCTTCTGCTCGTCGCCGCCCCAGCCCGACTGGTTTCGCCAGCCGCTGGAGCCGTCGATGGCGCCGTCCTTCCACGGATCACCGTCGATCCACGGATCATCCTTCTTCTCGTTGCGCTCCGGGCGCTCGTGGCGCTCGGCGCCGCCGGAGCTGGCCGCAGCCGCGGAGGTGGAGCCCGAAGAATCTCTCCCCTGCATCGCCTCCCTGACGATGTCACCGATGATTCTGTTCAGCTCACCCCTGGTCACCACCGCGTTCTCGGCCTGCCCCGGCGCCTCGGCGTGCAGAGTAGCACCAGTGTCTTTCTCCTCGTCAACTGCCATTACACCCGCCGTGGATCCACACGCGTCGCGTTGGCCGAGCGAAGCGCACGCCCAGGGCTCGCGAGCACCGGCGGGGCCGCGCCTAGCAGCGCGTCCGGCCAGCGCCCATGGCACCCGAGCGACACCTCGCTCCGCTACCAACTGTGGCAGCAAAGGATTGGATGAATGTTTTAGGCCTTGAGCCAGAACGGTAACAGTCACATGAAACTGAAGTGACCTGCCTTACAGGTCTGCAAGAATGAACTACAAACGCTAAACCTATCGATCAAATTCTGGAAGTCGGTTACAAGAGGGGGTGCGTTCGGAGGCCCTCTGTGACAGAGGGGGTGCGTTCGGAGGCTCTCTGCGACAGAGTTGCTCGTCATCCCGTTCCTCCTCGTCCTGCTTCTTGATTTCGGATATGTCATGCTACCACTGCGCTCATCATCTTTGCGTCTGTGATCCTCGTCGTGTTGTTCCATGCGTCCTTTTCACAATTTCCACCACATTATCCTCCGTTGCCGTTCTGGCCCGCCATCTACCTCGTCACTCTCCTTCGTCTGCATGTCCTTATTCTTTTCCGCTCTTTTTTCGCCTCCCTCTGGTTCGATTTCCGCTCTTCGTCCACTTCGTTCATTCGTTTCCAACCCCCCTTCCTTTCAAGTTCTCCGCCGTCCAATCACGTCGCGTCGTCCGCCGCCGCTATGCTCAAACCACCCCGCGCCCGTGGGATCGCCCGCGAGCACCGGTGCAGCTGGGCCCGTCGCGGCCTAACGCGCGCCTGCGCCATCGTCTTGCAATGGGCGATGCAGGCGGATACACATGGGATGGCGCGGGAGGATGGTGGGATAGCCGCAGCAGCGGCTGGCGTGGCTGGGAGGACGGCCATGATTGGTCAGCGAGGGGTTGGAGAGACTGGCGACAAGACGGGCACACGCCAACGGAGGACGCCAAATGGCGCGATGGCCCTGCCGCCGCAGCAGCGGCGGCGGTCTCGTCTCAACGGCCGTCTCGCTTCGCCGCGCTTAGCGTTGTGAGCCCCCGCGCCCCTGGTCTCGGCAAGCCCGAATTCGATAATTTCGTGAGGGCTGCCCTCCGAAACGTACCAGAACTTGGGAACACAGTTTCAGGAGAGGGGTCGGGATCCCGAGCCGCGCCTGCGGCGCAGGAGCCCCGCGCCACCGCAGCGGCGGCGGCGCGCGGGCCCCAGGATTTTGAGAAGTTTGATGTTAATTATTTTTTGAGTTATGAAGAGAGGCTCGGCACTTCGTTTAAGCAACACAATCAAGCGTTGAAATGGTGGCGCCATCTGAATGAAGACCCAACTGCCCCGTTCGAGTCAGAAGCCAAGTGGTTTGACAATGCGAAGCCCACCATGGTCGCTGTTTGCGACCACGGTGCGAGGACGAGCTTTGGTTTCAAAAGCGACGAGGAAGTCCCTTGGCGGTGGCAAGAGATGGTGGCGACGCTCAGGGAGGAAGATATCAGGGAGGTCGTGGAGGGGCCCCGCAGCAGCGGGGCTCTGATCGGCTGTTCCCTCGAAGTCCGGCCAAACAGCTACGACCACATGCGTCAGAGTATTGTGCGCGCGCGACAGTTCGCGGGGCAGCGGGTGAAAGTGAAGCTGCCGATGTGGGATTTCGTGTTGCACCGCGACGACGGGACAGGCGTCCGTTTACACCCGCACTGGGGCGACAGGAAGGTCGAAGCTCTGCCCCTCGTCCCCCACGCGGACACGGTGAGGCCACCAACCGCGGGTTTGGGCGGGAGCGACGGGTCAGGAACTTTTCGCTGGCACAAGGACCTCGGTGTGGAGCGTAAGGTCAAGTTCGACGCCGCCAGAGAGAAGGGGAGGCCGACGCCCTCTCAGGGGCCCCGCAGCAGCGGGGCCGCGGCGTCCAGCACCAGGCCCTCGGCGTCCGCAGCAGCGGGTGGCAAACAGTAGTTTTGGGACCGAATAACTCCCCAGACGATTTGGTTTCGGAGTAGATGGCTCCGCAGCAGCAGCGGGGCTCGAATGAAGGGCGCGTTGCATTTCTGCAGGGGCGCGCGCGTCGGCCGCCGAGATCGGGGGCGCTCGTGCAGGCGCCGTGGCGCGATCTTCGTAAAGAAGTCTTCCCTCTCCTCCCTGTCCCCCCATCCCGCCGCCCTCAACGTCGGCTCCTCGCCGCCCGTTCCTCGTCGCTCCACGCCTGTTCGTTCTCCTCCAATTTCCTCTCCCGCTTCCTCGTTCTCTCCTTCCCATTTTTCCCTCCATCCCATTGCATCCCTGGCACCCCAGCGAAGTTCGCAGTTCGAAGTTTGAAGTTCGGAGTTCGAAGGTTGCAGTTTGAATTTCGAAGCTTCGCACTTCGAGGTTCGATCTTCGAACCTTCGTCATCTCGTCGTCGTAATCGTCGTCCTCGTTCGTCGTCGTCGTTCCTCGTCGGCGTCGATTGTCGTTGTCGTCGTCGCTCGTTGTCGTCGTCGCCGTCGTCGTCGTGGTCGGCGTCGTCGTCGTCGGTCGTTGTCGTCGCTAGTCGTCGTCGCTGGTCGCCGTCGTGGTCATCGTCCTCGTCGTCGTCGTCGTGGTCGTCGTCGCCCTCGTTGTCGCCGTCGTGGTCATCGTCGTCGTCGTTGTCGTGAAACGCCCCACGTAGGAGGAGCAGAGAAGGGAGTAAGGAGAAATGAGCACGGTGGAGGGAGGAGGGAGGATTGAACAGGAAGAGGAGGGTGCAGATGGAGGTAGAAGGGATGAGGTAGTTCAGAAGTGGGAGCAGCAGACTGGCGCAATGGGAAAAGCCATGTGAGTGCAGGGAGGGATGGAAATGCGATAAAGTGAAGCCGCAGCCGTTGCAGGTCTGCCTCCCGCCGCGCCCGCCCGCCTCCGCGACTGGAGCCGCGCAGGGGCCTCTGCCGAAGTCTCCGCTTCAGCGGGGACTGCCAGAGGAGGCTCCTTCGCGGTTTGTGCGCCGCTATGGCGAGCATCGCGGGCAAGTACGACGTCGATGACTTCGAGCTCATCACGACGGAGGGCAGTGTTTGGCACTGGGCGACCATGGTGGTGCGGTTTCTCCAGTGGCGCAATCGTTGCCGCCATGCACGCTCCGTTGGAGTGAAGGGCCAGATGCTCGTCGACCAGGCGCGGCAGATGATGGAGGAGGCGCGCCGCACCGAGGAGATGGGCAAGATGATGCTTGAGATGTCGAAGAAGAAGGTGAAGGACATCCCAGGCAATATTCGGTACTTTTGCCGCCAGCCGCACCAGGAGAGCTGAGCGGCGATCGGAGCTGGGCCGATAGAGGAGGACGAGGAGGAAGAGGAGGGGGGATGAGGAGAGGAGGAGGAGGGGGATGAGGAGTTGGAGGCAGCACGCGCACCCGCACTAAGAGCCGCCAGCCGCGCCCGTCTCCGAGCATGAAACCCGAGCTTGGCTGGAAGGGGGGAGGGCGGTAGCAGAAACAGCGCAGGACAGGGATGGGAGAGGTCACGCATCCGCCGCATTAGCGGCGGTGGTACGACAGTTCTCATGGCGGCGCGGCGGTCGCTGAGAAATGGAGCACGTGCGTGGGCCTGCGTGCGCTTAATTATGAGTGGCTCTCGTCCCCTCCCCTCCTCTTCCTCCATGAGATCTCTCTCCTGGTGCATATCCCCTGCCAGTGCTCGTCCTGCTCCTCTATCCGCCCCCCCTCGTCCGTTCCTGCCACCAGCCACATGGGGCGTTCTCAATCAACACCCCATTGAGTGTCCCCATGTGAAGGTTGCCCTTTGTCATGAGGGCGGACTCGCAAGAGCCGAGTGGCTGAAGAACTAATTAGTAGTTTGGGGTCCGAACAGCTCCCCAGACGATTTGGTTGTGGAGTAGGTGGCTCCGCAGCAGCGGGGCTCGAATTAAGGGCGCGTTGCATTTCTGCAGGGGCGCGCGCGTCGGCCGCCGAGATCGGGGGCGCGCGTGCAGGCGCCGTGGCGCGATTTTCGTTTTGAAGTCTCCCCTCTCCTCCCTGTCCCCCCATCCCGCCGCCCTCAACGTCGGCTCCTCGCCGCCCGTTCCTCGTCGCTCCACGCCTGTTCGTTCTCCTCCAACTTCCTCTCCCGCTTCCTCGCTTTTCCTTCCCATTTTCCCTCCATCCCAGTCCATCCCTGGCACCCCAGCGACGTTCGCAGTTAGAAGCTGGAAGTTCGGAGTTCGAAGATCGAAGTTTGAATTTCGAAGCTTCGCACTTCGAGGTTCGATCTTCGATCCTTCGTCATCTCGTCGTCGTAATCGTCGTCCTCGTTCGTCGTCGTCGTTCCTCGTCGGCGTCGGTTGTCGTCGTCGTCGTCGCTCGTTGTCGTCCTCGCCGTCGTCGTCGTGGTCGGCGTCGTCGTCGTCGATCGTCGTCGTCGCTAGTCGTCGTCGCTGGTAGCCGTCGTGGTCATCGTCCTCGTCGTCGTCGTCGTGGTCGTCGTTGCCCTCGTTGTCGCCGTCGTGGTCATCGTTCTCGTCGGCGTCGTCGTCGTCGTTGTCGTGAAACGCCCCACGTAGGAGGAGCAGAGAAGGGAGCAAGGAGAAATGAGCGCGGTGGAGGGAGGAGGGAGGACTGAACAGGAAGAGGAGGGAGCAGGCAGAGGTAGAAGGGATGAGGTAGTTCAGAAGTGGGAGCAGCAGAGTGGCGCAAGGGGAAAAGTCATTTGAGCGCAGGGAGGGATGGCATTGCGATAAAGTGAATCCGCAGCCGTTGCAGGTCTGCCCCCCGCCGCGCCCGCCCGCCTCCGCGACGGGGGCGGCCCAGGGCATGGAGCAGCCTGGCGCGACTGGAGCCGCGCAGGAACCTCTGCCGAAGTCTCCGCAGCAGCGGGGGCTGCCAGAGGAGGCCCCTGATGCAGTTCCGCATGGAATGGCAGATCCAGCACCGGCCTCCGCAGCAGCGGGGGGGGAGGTTGCAACGAAACTGCGGTCATTGTTTTCGTCGATGTCTGGTGCCCAGGAAAGCGTTTCGCAGAGCCTGCTGGTTGCTC